AGCCGCCAGCCGGGCCCAGCCTCTCGGCTCCCGGCAGGTGCGCGGGACGAGGTAAGGGAGCGCTCCTCAGTCATGGTGTTTCAGGAGTGTGCCAAGCGCGGGGAACTACCATGTTATGCCGCATCTTTAAGTCCCTTTTAAGGTCCCTTCCAACCCAAACCATTCTGTGATTCTGTGATTTCTGGGCCAGCTTTGTGCAGGAACGCCTACAAGGCAGAGGGAAGGGCGAGGGAAAAAGGAATGCTTCCGGACTCGTCAGTATCCCTGGGTTCTTAGGATTTAACACAGCTGTTACTCTCCTCTCCTACAGAAAAAGAAACTCCCGAACTCTTTTCCAGCGGGAATGGACGTGGACAAGTTCTTGTTGTCTTTGCATTACGACGAATGAAACGGACAAGGGTGGTTGAACTGTGGCTGCCTAAAGCCGGGTGTTGTGAGGCCGAGGTTTTGCGTGGGGAGAGAAGTGAAGTCTGAAGGGTGAGTTGCACTTTCAGTGCACTGCAGTTTCACTTTATAGCAGAATCATGCTGTTCCTGAAGCAGATTGCTAAGTGTAAATATCATCGAGGTGGTGTATGTTTATTCTTGAAAAAGCACTTGCGTAATTACAGAGCCATTTAATTTGCAAAGCTGTAAATGTGTATAAATGTAATGTAAGAGAAGTTGTACTTTCCCCGTTACACCGCGCTGTCTGTGCTCTGCCGCGTTCGCTACGTACCCGTCCGAACCGCGTAGCCCCTTGGTGGAGCGGCGGCGGGCTGGAAGGTGGTTTTCGTAGCTCACCCTTCGAGACGGGGGCAGCTCACCTGGCCGCTTCCCCTTGTCCTGTCGCCTGCGAAAGGGACTTCATCCTCGGGCGTGACCGGCTTCTGCTGACGCTCTCTTCCCTCGCAACCGTCAGGCCCATGTTGGAAGGCTTTCAGTGCGTTAACAAAAATACCCATCGCGAAACGTAAGGCCAGTAAGCCCTCCAAAAGTATTTCTCATCTGAGGGAGCTTTTCCCAACCAGTCGTTCAGGTCAGACCTTTAATTAGGACGGGCCTCGTCTGATGATGGGATTTGCTGCGTAGGACGCTGATGAGTTCAAAAGCTGTTTTCGAGCGCTGGGCCTCGCCGTGGGCTAACCCCTGCATTCACACGGGGGTCAAATCTCTCCCGTCTGTACTGGATATTGCCACCCTGAGCCTCGCTCCAGTCCTGCGGAATCTTCTCTGCTGGCATTTCCTCTGTTCTCAAATCGCTGAGGTCTTAAAAAGAGCAAGTGTTGTGGTGGGAGCTGTACAGCAGCAGGGCAATGTTTCAGGTAGTACACAAGGATTCCTAAGGAACCAGTATTATGCAGTAGCTGTTTATATTAAACCCATCCGATAACGAAATACTGCATAGCCTTTACAGCTTGAATAAATATTTTTGGTTTAATAAGTTGTGTGCCTTTGTTTAATATTTTGTAAGTCCATGAAGCAACTGTGAGGACAGCGTAGGGAAAAGTCACGGTGATGGTCACTTTTGAAGACCAAGATTCATAGAATGGTTTGGGTTGGAAGGGACCTTAAAGCCCATCTAGTTCCAACCCCCCTGCCATGGGCAGGGACACCTTCCACTAGATCAGGTTGCTCAAAGCCTCATCCAGCCTGGCCTTGAACACTTCCAGGGATGGGGCATCCACAGCTTCTCTGGGCAACCTGTGCCAGTGCCTCCCCACCCTCTCTGGGAAGAATTTCTTCCTGACATCTAATCTAAACCTCCCTGATTTCAATTTATACCCATTACCCCTTGGCCTGTCACTACAGGCTCTTGTAAAAAGTCCTCTCCCAGTACCCTTGTAGGCCCCCTTCAGATACTGGAAAGCTGCAATGAGGTCTCCTCGGAGCCTTCTCTTCTCCAGGCTGAACAAGCCCAACTCTCTCAGCCTGTCCCTGTAGCAGAGGTGCTCCAGCTCTCTGAAGAGGGCTGTTTAATACTGTTCACTAGTGAAGAGTTCAGTATTAAACAGGAAGCTGTAACAGCAGTGCTCGTCAGAGGGGCTGGGGCAGGCAGGCAAAGAATGGTGTTAGTCACGTAGTGCGAGTAGTGGTCTGACGGTTGCTACGTGGTATTTTCAACAGGATTTGCTATTTAGGTGAGTCCTAGTGCAGCTCTTGGATGGGACAGCCGCTCTCCACCACCGTCCTTCTCTCTCAGTTCAGGTGACCTGGCGCTGCTGAAGACGTTAATGATCCGTGCGCTGGGGCTCTCAAGGGAAACAAGGTCTTGAGTTCCAAGCTGCAGCCACACAGTGAATAGCTTGTGGAGAGGTGTAGAGCATGAGTTGGAGGTCAGTTTCCTTAGCACGTGGCATTTAAACCCCGCTGTGTATTTGCTGCAAGGCTCTTCCTTCTCAGAAGGAGCGGATGGATCCCGCTACATCCCAGTCAAAGGATGTATTTACTCCCCCTGCTTTAAGGAGGGAAAGGTAAGGACAGCCAGCAGGTAAAGATGACTTCCCCTTGAAACTAATGTTGGAATAAGAAAGCCGTTGTCCTAAATCCCAGCTCAGAAACTTGGAGCCGGTTAGTGTTTATCCCTTGGGAAAGGGGTGAGGGAAGCAGGCTTTACCATTAGAAGAGGCCAGTGAAGGAGCCCATTTCTGCCCTCTGGCAAAGAGCTGCTGAAGCAACTGCACGAACTTCTCCCAAAATCTTGAACCAGATTCACCCCAGGGAAGTGTCTCCCTGTACCTGCAACAGGAAGGCTTAACCCGGTATTCCTGAAGAATTAACCCTGAATTCAAGAGCAGCTCAGTACGGGGCCGCTCCCAGCGCAGAAGCACTCTGTCCTGAACCCACCCCTGTTACAAGCTGGTGCAAAAGCTGTACGTCACAGGGGGTTTAAAGGGACAGAAAAGGGACAGGAGCAGTTTGAGGCCTATTAGTACTCCTGTGTGTAAGTTACACCACCATCCCTGCTGGTTTACTCAGATACTGCGCCCCAGGGCAGGGTAGGAGCATGCTGTGGAAGGGCTCCCTTTTTGCATTTGACCTGGCTTCATGGGCCACAACAGCAGATAACCAACCTTTGAGTAAAAAGTTATTCTTCCCATGAAAATGACTTGGTAGCCTTAAAACAGTAAGTGAAGCAACTAAACAGTGAGAAACCAGCTAATTCTGGTAGCAGCGCTGTGTGAGTTACCGAGGGAATTCATTTTCGGTGGCGCTCGGGACACCCTACGTCAGTGACAGGAGCCACGGTTAACAAACGTTCTTCACTGTCAGGTCTCAAGGCACGATCGTAACGGGATGTTTTTTATTTGTACTGTATAAAAACGCGCACTGAGTCAAAATACTGAAAGCCCAGTCGTCTGTATTGATAATCAGTGATGTTTTGAGAAAGCTTAGAGGAGCAGTTAAGGATTTCATACTGATAAAGAAGGTGTAACAGATACCGTGTGGGTCAGAGCGCGTTACGGCTTCGCTTGTGACGCTCTCTGCGCCTACAACTTCTCTATCAGGATGGCGGAAGCACCTCCTCCTCCATTGCAAATTCCTGCAAGACCGTACTGTCCTTGTTTCAGTGTGTGGGCCATGTGAACAACAATTCTTGCTCCGGACATTCTAAATCAAAGGGAAAAAAAAAGGTATGCAGTTTAAAGGAAATTCATAATTTGACCCGCAGAGGATAGTTGGCAGAATGTAGTACTGAGTCAGTGGAGGGGGAAAACAGCACCAACAAAAAGCCCAAACAAACTCTTTCACCTACACTGGGATGCAATACAGGTTGATTTTCTCTGGCTACAGCACTTAACAAACAGATTCTTACACATACTCCGTTTATCTAAAGTTTCGTTCAGAGCAGGAAATCCCTCTCAGTCTGTCTGTCTTAGGAAGTATCTCTGCAGGTACCAAACGTTCACAAAACAAAACTCCATGTTAATAATTCATTTCCAACAGTGTCTTGTTTGCTTACAACTTGACATACTCAGCATGCTCCTTCAATCCACCTCGTGTGCAAACTCGAGCCTGTAAATTCTGTCATTAGACTGCTGGAATTAAGGTAACTCCTGCTTGTTCCCGACAAACAGCGCGGTTGCTTCACACCCGTATTTACTCAGAGGTTTTGGAGTGGGTTTTTCCTCGTAGACCCGAACCAGCACGATCACTCTTACGGAGGATTAAGGGGATATACGTTAGGCACGAGCAAGTTACAGCTGTTGGGGCACGCAGACGGTGATCCGAGTCCTCTAACCCGATGGCAGAACTTCAGAGATCCCAGTCCACCGCATTAGGTGCTGGGAGACTTAATTCACTGCCAAAAATGCTTTGTCAGGGCCTGGAGTTTCACTTTGCTCGTGTAAGAAAAATAAAAGCCCCTGCACCATACCCTGAAAACAGTGAACTCTTGATTGTTAGTGTTTATTCTGTCACGTTAATAGCTATTTGGTTTTAACACTCCACAAAGCCAGGGAGCTGTGGTGCCAAGCAAGCTCGTTATAAAAGTCAATGATAACTAAACATGAGGAGGAGGATGGGATCGTGCTCTTCCCAAGGTACCCTGACATTTAACGCCGGGATGAAGTCACTGCGGACTTGACAGCAAAGTTCTCCTCCCCTCCTACGTGCACATAAAGGTGGGAGTACAGGTACAGGTGCTAGCACTGCGTCTAGAAAGCGACGCCCCTGCGCAGAACAGAAACCTGTGCTTATCCTACGTACCCGATGGGGTGTCCGAGAGAGACAGCACCTCCGTTGACATTCACTTTTTGGGGGTCGATACCCAGCATTTTGATATTGGCCAGCACCACAACGCTGAACGCTTCATTGATTTCCCACATGGCAACATCTTCTTTTTTCATACCTGTCTGACTTAGAATCTAGAAACAGTAAAAACAGTTACTACAGCCGAAACAGCAGGAAGCTGATTACAGAAAGAATTGGGTCTGGTGTGAAGGCGGCGACTCAGGCTGCCCACAGCCTGATCGAAGTTCACGTTTCAGAACGTCTTTCTCGGACAGGGAAAAAGCGAGACTGAGGGACCGAAGCGCAAACTTGAGTCTTCACAGAAGAAGAAACGGAGAGCACCCCGTGCCTAGAACACGCGTTCTTTGCGCTGACGGTGAGACTGCAGCTGCGGTAAGCGCGTTCAAACGGAAGCGGCCTTGCCTCATGCCACACGCTCGGCTTCGGGGCCTTTTTCACCCAGTCTGCGCTTGTACGTAACCGTACTTCTCTTGCCTTTTAGCCACCCTGGCTGCAAAGCTTCAGGAGTGTGAAGCAGCCCAGCGTTGGTGAAAGCAGCATAAACCAACACTCTCTTTCGAAAGAGGTGTGAGAATTTTGTTACTCTGAAAATCTGCACTCTACCCGTGATCCCCTGACAACCACGTGTTCTTTGTATTTGTGTGACTGCAATTTCCATACGAACCGCAGGATGATCCACTGAACCCCCAACATCAGAAGGATATAGACGGGTTGTAGCGAGTCCAGAGGAGGCCACGAAGATGCTCAGAGGGCTGGAGCACCTCTGCTATGGGGACAGGCTGAGAGAGTTGGGCTTGTTCAGCCTGCAGAAGAGAAGGCTCCGAGGAGACCTCATTGCAGCTTTCCAGTACCTGAAGGGGCTACAACGAAGCTGGGGGGGACTTTTTACAGGGGCTTGTAGTGACAGGACAAGGGGTAATGGGTTTAAATTGAAAGTGGGGAGGTTTAGGGTAGATATCAGGAAAAAATTCTTCCCAGGGAGGGTGGTGAGGCACTGGAACAGGTTGCCCAGAGAAGCTGTGGATGCCCCATCCCTGGAAGTGTTCAAGGCCAGGCTGGATGAGGCTTTGAGCAACCTGGTCTAGTGGAAGGTGTCCCTGCCCATGGCAGGGGGGTTGGAACCGGATGATCTTTAAGGTCCCTTCCAACCCAAATCATTTCACGATTCTATGATTCCATGAGGGACGAACCCACAACCAGCGCAAGGGAAGTCTGTTGTTTTTGCGAAAACCGCTCAGTTTTATTCCTACCTTGGGAACAGCATGTGCGGGTGCGATTGGGAAGTCAATGGGGTCGACAGCAGCATCTGCGAAAGCTGGAAACATCACAAAAGCTGTTTAGAGAGAGCCCTTTGCCTTTTACCATACGTGACTGTTACTTGTGCAAGCAGCAAAACTCAGAATAGAATGGTCCATGAAGTAGACACATCTAAGTTTAGTGCCTCAAGCGAGCCACGTAATGACAATTTCAGACTTAATACTAAGGAAAACTCTGCTTAGGGTGAAGAACCTGCTGGTAGCACACGCGATCGGAAGGACTGTGTTGAGAAGGTGCAGCCACGATGCCAGAGGGCTCACCTCTTCCGTCCCGTGAGCACACCCAGCCTGCGAGCGTGCTGGGACTACTGTGCAGGGCAGTACCCAAAGACAAAAGACAGAGCTCACCTACCACCCGTGCCAAGGGTTTGACTTTCAGTCTCTTGGCTGCCTCCGCAGTCATCAGCACCACCGCAGCTGCGCCGTCATTCAGCGTGCTGGCATTAGCAGCTGTAACTGTTCCTAGGGAAGGTGAAGCCTTGTTTAAACAGGGGGAGTGTGACAGAGCTCAGGTATAACCCCTGAACCATTTGCTTTACCTTAGGCCCATGAACAACAGATCAGTTTGACCAAACAAGTACAATCACGTGGATGTGTACCTTGAGCTACGTGGCAGGTTAGATCCCGCCCTCCGTGCCAGCTGCGCTGCTGGCGTTCACACGGCATTCCAGCTCAAACAGGCTGCCAAGGAGCGGCCACTGTGATTTAGCCAGAAGGATTTATCCATTACAGATTCAGGGAGGTAACGGGTAGCCATGTACAGGCGCTCCAGCTCGGCTGGAGCAAGAGCTCACGCCTGCTGCGGACCAAGGCAGTGGCTGGGAAGGCCAGCCCAAGTCAGCCTTTACATGCCTAAGGCAGGTTTTCCTTAGCTTAAGGTTCTCGGACCAGCTCTTAATCCCAGCCAGGCCGTGCTGCTGTGAAGCGTGTTTATCACAGCAGATGTTTAGAAGCCTACTGACTAGTGGTGGGCATTCCAGTTCCTGTGAACAGTACTCGGCACTACAGCAAAGCATCCCTGCTCTGGGCAGAGAATTAAGCAGTTGATTTAACAGTATTTACCATTTTCTTTCTGGAAAACGGCTTTCAGCTTTGGAACTTTACTAAAATCAACACGTTTGTATTCTTCATCTTCCGCCACTTCAACATCTGGCTTCCCTGAAATTAAGATTTGGGTTAAAATTTTGTAGAATAGTCCGTTCTTAAGACATTCTCAGACAGTACTTGGGTTAAATGCTGCCTTATCTAAACAAGCTGTTTCAGTTAAAAAATGAAAACACACGTCAAGAAATGTGCTTATGAAAACCGAAAAACCGTTATTCCTTAGTGCAACTTATTCACAGCAAATCCATTTATGCTTCCTGGTGGCTGAATGAAATGGACAAAGAACACATCTTTAAGGTCATTAAAGATTAATTCAAATTAAGAAGGAAATTCAAACAGAATTGTCCTCGGGCTATTCCAGCTAAATTCAATTGCTGGTCTTCCACTTCCATAAAAAGGGAGAAAGATATGGTATGGAACGTGAAAGAAAAATTAAAAACCAAAACCAGATCACAGGTCACGGACTGCTTTTCACCAGAAAGTCTCTGCATAACAGAAAATTCTTAGCTAACCTAAAATCAGTGTTCCCGAGATCTGCGTGTTTAAACAACGCAATTTGCACTGAACATGGAGGACGTTACAGCTTCCAGCAAGAAGCACAATTGGCTTGATCCCACAATACCTTTCTTTGAAACAGTGACCGGAACAATCTCGTTTTTCAGTATTCCCGCCTCCCAGGCTGTTTTGCTCTTGGTGTACGAGCCTATGGCGTAAGTGTCCTGCTCCTCTCGTGAAATAGTGAACTTCTTGGCGGTATTCTCGGCACAGTTGCCCTTGGGGAAAACCAGGCACGTTAGGTTTGGTGCTTGTGGGGACGTGAACTAGAAATGCAGCTGAAAACACTCAATGGGCAGATTTCCAGAGCTGAATGTGACTAGTACTTGTGCCCATTCCTGATTTACACCATCGCGATCAAACAGCAACTGCCGGTTCTGGGACACGAACTTAGAATCATAGAATCACAGAATGGTTTGGGCTGGAACGGCCCTTAAAGATCATCGAGTCCCAACCCCCCTGCCATGGGCAGGGACCCCTTCCACTAGACCAGGTTGCTCAAAGCCTCATCCAGCCTGGCCTTGAACACTTCCAGGGATGGGGCATCCACAGCTTCTCTGGGCAACCTGTTCCAGTGCCTCTCCACCCTCTCCGGGAAGAATTTCTTCCTGACATCTAATCTAAACCTCCCTGTTTTCAATTTATACCCATTACCCCTTGTCCTATCACTACAGGCTCTTGTAAAAAGTCCTCTCCCAGCACCCTTGTAGCCCCTTCAGATACTGGAAAGCTGCAATGAAGTCTCCTCGGAGCCTCCTCTTCTCCAGGCTGAACAACCCCAACTCTCTCAGCCTTTCATCATAGGAGAGGTGCTCCAGCCCTCTGAGCATCTTTGTGGCCTCCTCTGGACTTGCTCCAAGTGGTCAATATCCTTCTGATATTGAGGGCTCCACAGCTGGACGCAGCACTCCAGGTGGGGTCTCAAACTTCAGATTTAACTGACATTTTCTGGATCCAGATTATTAAAGCCATGAAGGAACATTCATTACAAGGTGCTTTTCTAAGTTAAAAATCTGAGGCAAAAGTAAGTTTTCAGGTGCTTAGGGATGTCTTCAGAGACCGAACCCCACCGTTCAGCCGAAGAGCAGTCTGACACGTCACCGTACTGCTGCTGTCATGCCATTATCAGCCTGTCTGTTCCAAAGGTTACCAGAACAGGTCAACACACAGGGCTTGCTCAGTCCTTGGGATCTGACACTCTAAAAACCACAAATAAAAGTCTGTGTACATTCTGCGTAATAGCCAGAATGGAATAAGCAGAATGAAACAATCAAATCATTTTATAGATAGGCCAATCATAATGATAATTCATTACCAACACCGTCCAAATAGCTGGGGACAAAATATATGTATATGAAAAAAAAA